GAATAGAGGGCAGACAGCAAATTTATTGACCTTTTTAAATTCGAGAAACGTTCCAATAGTTATTACAGCGACCTCTTAAAAAAAAAGATCTTTGAAACGTTTTCCGTATCGCAAAGAGTCACTAAATTTGCATACTCCTCTCTTTCCAAAATCAACTAAATTTTAGTGTCATTGCGAGGATTTTTGATATCCAATTGGGCTAACAACAACCTTCATCAAATTTTCAACCTTCTTACTTAGAACACGGAACTTCCTACAAACTTGTCGAACCTGAACTAACCCATTAAGACTTTTTATAACCATAAAAGTTTAGAGTGGTCCTTTCACTACCCTCTTTTCCCCCACTAGGATACAATTGGCTACAGTATCCCCAAACAGGAACTGGGACGATTGGGGAAAAAGACGATTGGGGAAAGGGACGATTGGGGAAAAAGACGATTGGGGAAAAGTACGATTGGGGAAACCGAAAAGTATTATTTTTCTTCCATGCAAATGTCGAAGTTAGGATAATCGAGGGTGCTCGTTTCGAATATCGGGTTTGTTTTTTCTGAACATTACTAGTTTTCCTTAAGTAGTACTGTTAAGTACTAATTTTTAAAAAATTTTCGAAAAATACTGGATTTAGGGGATTTCGAAGGTGCTGGTTTCGAAAATCATGTTCATTTTTCCTCTAGTACTATATAGTACTATTCTGATACTATATAGTACGAGGTCAAAATATGGCTTTTGACGTTAATGGTGTTGTTTTGATGCTTAGTATTCTTCAAAAACACGTTTTAAAGACTTGGTGCTATATAGTACTACCTGATACTATGGAGTACGAGGTGTAAAGTTGGCCTTTAGGCGTTCGTGGTGTTGTTCTGGTGCTTAGTACGCCTATTTTTACTTCGTACTACATAGTATCAGACAGTACTATATAGCACCAAGTCTTTAAAACGTGTTTTTGAAGAGTACTAAGCATCAAAACAACACCATTAACGTCAAAAGCCATATTTTGACCTCGTACTATATAGTATCAGAATAGTACTATATAGTACTAGAGGAAAAATGAACATGATTTTCGAAACCAGCACCTTCGAAATCCCCTAAATCCAGTATTTTTCGAAAATTTTTTAAAAATTAGTACTTAACAGTACTACTTAAGGAAAACTAGTAATGTTCAGAAAAAACAAACCCGATATTCGAAACGAGCACCCTCGATTATCCTAACTTCGACATTTGCATGGAAGAAAAATAATACTTTTCGGTTTCCCCAATCGTACTTTTCCCCAATCGTCTTTTTCCCCAATCGTCCCTTTCCCCAATCGTCTTTTTCCCCAATCGTCCAACTCCGCCCCAAACAGGACGATAAAACATTGTACCTTTAGTTTACAGCGCAAACACCTCTCAAAAATGTCGCATCAAACTGCTAAAAAATTGTAAAAATTTCTCTTATGAAACCAAGGATTCACATTGCACTACGGCAAAGTGCACGGTTCCACCAATTTTTGTGTGGGCCCAACTAATTAGACAGAATTTTACACTTGAAGGACAAAGGCCAACTAGTTAGTTCTAAGCGACGGGCATACTGTAGCCCACTTCACATACTTTTACATCCATTGAACTCTTGAAAATTTTTTGCAAAAAGTTAGATTGCAGTTACCAACTATACTGGCTTAGCCCTGCACAAAATTTGTCCACCGATTTACTAATCCCAAGTTACTCATCAGGGACTACACAGAATTAATTAGGTGTTTCCCTTTTTTTAAAACGTTTCCTTCTTTGATATACGCTTTACACAGTTTTTTTTGTTCAGGAAGCCTTTGGAGAAACTAATGGATTGGCGGTAATTATCCAAATCAATTCGGTTAGCAGGCGAGCCGAGCTAACTCTGCCTGTTTTTTACCTATAGTCAAAAAAAAAACCCTACCCGTTTCACCAAAAACAACGACCCAGCTCCTGGGAAACGTCTACCTCTTGAGGCAGAAACTAATCTTTAAAACTTCCTTCATTTTTTGAGACTAGAGTGGCGAACCTGCTCCAGTGGCAAAAAACGTACCATTTTGCATCCGGGAAGTATCAAAAAATGTAACAAAATACCTCGAGGGTGCGCCTTTGAAAAGAAATCTTTTCACTTGGATATGTAGGCATTTTGCTATATTTTTTGATACTTCCCCGACGCAAAATGGTACGTTTTCTGCCAGATCCGTCACTGTAGTCTCAAAAAATCAAAAAAGTTTTAAAGATTAGTTTCTGCCTCAATTACGTCAATCAAAATTCTCCGGAAAGAACTTTAATATCCAAAATCTTTTAATCAACCGATAGTGCGTGGATGAAACGTCTAAACGGGTCAGAGAATGCCCGTTTGACGTGTATCATTTTTCTTTTATCACACCCCCAACAAACCATACAAATTAAAAAATTAAAAATCTTGACATTCTAAAATTACCCATGGATGACCTGATATACTCTGTTTCTAAGTACCAATAATTTTTGTAAGCCCTTGTGTTAAAAACACGTTCTTAAACTCCTACATGACTTTTCTTAATAAGCTTTGCGAATACGATAAATTAAACTCATCAAATTGTCACAAAAAATGAGTCAACTTCAAAATACAGCAAGAAGTGGCATTTCCGACAAAAGAAAAGCAAGTGTAACAATCTACAAATGAAGAATCTCTTGCAATAAACCAATACAAAGAAACTTATTTACCGTTTTTCGAAGCTTAAAACTTCTTTTTTAGCCTACAATCTCCCTCGCCCAAGAAGTACAAAGATCGGGAGTTCCCGTTCCAGGATGGTACGTCTACAAGAACTAAAATAAAATACGATGCACTTTTAAGGCCATAAAAACTCTCGCTATTTTAACACAAGGACTATAACACCCCTATCAAGTTGCCAGTCTAATCCAATGACGCATTGGAAATCTTCGAAGACCTCTATAATAACCGGAAGAAAGGTGCAACGCCTAACGAAACAGTGCAATCTCGTCGTCTAGGATGAGTTGCAGCCCTTAAAGGCTGCTGTTTTTACGTGTGGTGCCCTATCGCGGGCGCAATATCTTCGGCTTCAAGTGGGCGAGCTGCTCTGAGAAAACGGAACTAATTATTGTGCAAATTATAGCATGTAGTGCAAACAAAGTTAAGAAATTATGACTCAAGCCGGTCATATCATCAAGAAACAAACTGTGGGTTAATTTAAGCTTAAAAAAAATTTTTTTGGTCTAACACTACAGATTTCACTGCGACAATCATCGATAACGGCGGATGGTTCAGATTTTGCCTGTTAGCCATGTGTAAACTACCGTAGCCCTAATTAACATTGGTATTTTGGGGCTGTAAACATCCTTTTTTCCCCCATCGCCCTTCTATGTGTACTATATTTACAAATGAAGTTGACCTTTTGCACATCCGCGGGCTTTCGTGTTCGCATGCAAAAAAAGGCCAAGAACGGTCGAAAACAGGCGGCCAAAAAACGGCTATCCCCGCGAATTTCCCACAACACTTGCGCGCACGGATTCGACATTTCCCCGAAATTAAAAACACATTAATCATCGGCGGTTTTTTCGCACAGTGCATGCGGAAAAACGTGCAAAAATAGAGGGTTTTTTGCCTCAAAAAGTTTAAAATTTTGTTACAAAATTTTGCGAACTTACGACAAAGTAAACACACAGTAGGGTAAATTTAGCCGCGCTCTTCGTATAAAAAGTCCCAGTGGTTTTAAAATTCAATTCAAGTTGACCTTTTCATGTTGTACTGAAAAGTGCGTAAACAAAATGCAAAAACTTTTGTTGCGCAATTACTGCCGGTAGGGCAAATATAGCAGCCTACATGGTCTTTGGAGAAGGTTAGATCTTAGAATCAACTATAATCACCAAAAAATTTTTAATACAAAAAATGGTGCTTCCAAGCTGACAGGGAAATCATACAAAAAAAATACCATCTGCAAACGATCACTCTAGCCAGTAATTGTCGCTAAAAGTCCTAAAGACAAATAAAAAGTACTTAGCCCACATAACATATCCATAGTAATCGGTGTAAGCGGCGGAAATTGAAATTTTTCGATGAGATGAGTCAGTTTCATAAAAATTAATTTTTTTGCCCTCTAATATTTGATGCATAAGTAATATTTTCGATGTATTCATCGGTTCTTGCCAGTTAATTTGAAAATTCGAAAGCCAAGTTTCAAAAAATGAGGTCCTTGATGTTCCCCATGATAACATTTGGTCTAGCCTTCCCCAAAAACCTAAATTTTTCTGATCAATTTTTTTTCTATTTCAAAATACACCGTCCAAGTTCCCATGTAAAAACTGACCTTTATTCAGAAATTTCAAACTTTCCAGTAAAGTAACACAAACATGTTACTTTACAATTTCAACAGCATGAAAAGTTCATTTTTTGGAATATTTTTAGGCTCTTTCCACGCTCAAAAACAACGCCTTTTAGGACGTAATCATATTTCGACTTTAGCAGACAACCTTATCATATACCCTTTAAATATACGTTACACTTTCGTGACGTAAAAAGTTTCTGGTTTCAAACCTTATAAATTGCTGTCTTTACATGACTGCTTTTGTTTTGAAAACTCTGTTGATCAATGCAACAGAGGATGACCCTCTATAAAAACATTGATCTTATAGTTTTTAAGGTCATTTTGACATTATTTTAGGGTTGTTGATTATATTAAATTTGAACTCGGACTGGGCCGGCACGACGGCCCGCTAATTATGGGCTCCCAAATTAATTAACATGAAGTCATTGAGCTGGCGACTGATTATTAAAAGTGTAAACGTGGTTAGCGAAATGTACTCGGACTGACGCAAGCTCTAAAACAATATGCAAAAACGAATCCGCGGCCGAAGACTAATTAAAACAAAGTAAATAAAGTATTTGGGAATTCAAAATGAGTTGAATAATCCATCAGAAAAAGCGTTAAGAACGTGCAAATAGGTCCAAATAATTTATTGGCAACAAAAACTGAAGATCATGAATAAAGTGGAAACGAGGAGAACTTGGGGTAAAATTATCCATCTAAACGTTGTTGAGGCTCCATAGTGACGATCGAGTTTCCACGCACCACCACCATTCCGATATCCTTGGGCTCGCCGTTCTTAAAAGGAAAACATTAGATGTCTAGTGCAATTCAATTTTTTAAAGCAAAAATCGGCGTAAAACTCGTTCAATTATCAAAACCAAGTATCGCCGGAGCTTTTTATGTCCAAAAACAAAAGAAAGATCAACGAAATCCCACCTTTGGATGTTCCTTGGCTTCCTCGACAATCAAATTCATGAAGGGATCGAATCCACGCAAAATCCCGGTAATCTGCCTAAAAACAGAAGTCAGAATGAATAAAAATTACGCACATACCTATTTCCATTCAATTTGAACAACATGTTCTTGTCCATGTACAACTTGAGCTGTGGTGGATGAGTTCTGCTCATTTTTGCTGTCTAAAACAATATAACGATAAAAAGTGGATAAAACCCGATTTAACTATAATTTTATAGCTCATAACACGTAATTGCGTTGATAAAGCAGGTAAAAATCCAGGCAAAATAAAAAACATGAAATTGTGAAAGAAAAGCGCCCTTTATTTTTCTGCGTCCCACCAAGAAGAACAGGGAATCGGAGCATTTTGTTGGCATTTCGCAACAAGAAGATTTTTCGCTGTTTTTTGGTGCACGCGTGCCTCGCGCCAAGAAGTGTTGTTCCAGATGGCATTGAACACTAATTTTCCTCATAATCGTAAACGGACCGTCTACGTCGGTGGATTTGGTGATGAAGTTACGGAGAAGACCCTGAACTACGCTTTTATCCCGTTTGGAGACATTGTTGGGATCTCTGTTCCACTAGATTACGAAAGCGGTAAACATCGAGGCTTTGGGTACGTGTTTCATTTTGTGGCTTTTCGAGTTTTAGGCATCGAATTTCATTCTAAAATGTCGAAATAAAAATCGCTTTAGATTCGTCGAATTCGCTTTGGCCGAAGATGCCGCTGCAGCGATTGATAACATGAACGACGGTGAGTTGTATGGCCGGACGATAAGAGTGAACTTTGCACGGCCTCCTAAGGCAAACGAACGATCTAGCAGACCTGTTTGGGCAGATGACGAGTGGCTAAAACAATATGGAGGTGGTCAAAAAGATGCGGGCTCCGACCACGAAGATAACGAGAATGAAGGTGCCACAGAAGCAGGAGATGGTGAGGAAGTACCGAGGAACAAAATAACACTGCCTCGAGTTTATCTGGGAATTAAAATTGGAATCCGGTGAGAGTTTTATATTATTTTTGATGTTTAGAGAGAAAGGACGACACGAAATGTTAGAAACTGAACGAAATGTTTTCAGTTATGTTGGAAGGATTGTGTGCGAGCTCAGGACGGATGTAGTACCGAGAACTTGCGAAAATTTCCGATGTTTATGCACCGGCGAACGAGGTTTTGGATTTCAAGGGTCAAAATTTCACCGAGTTATTCCCAAGTTTATGATTCAAGGTGGCGACTTTACAAAAGGTGATGGAACTGGCGGGAAATCAATCTACGGCCTAAAGTTCGACGATGAGAACTTCAAACTGAAGCATGACATGCCCGGTATATTATCCATGGCCAACTGCGGACCAAACACAAATGGATCGCAATTTTTTATCTGCACGGCTAAAACTGATTGGCTAGACAACAAGCACGTCGTTTTTGGCCACGTAGTGGAGGGAATGAATATTGTCAGGCAGATTGAGCAACAGGGAACACAATCAGGGAAACCAATGATGCAGGTAACTAAATCAATATGATATTTTGTTTTGTTTCGACATATCGATTTTGTAATAGAGGGTAAATGAATTTTTCTGTAATAAAAAATTGATTTCAGATTCAAATCGTCGAATGCGGGGAGGTCGAGAAGTAAATCCAGGTGCCGAGTGTTATGTTTGTAACTTATTTGAATATCATTGTTGTTAAGGAATAAAATAGATCTCATTTGTCTTGTTCTCCTTAATTTCGACTATTTTCTTGGTTTCTAGCCAATAATTATTACGATAGAAACGAGAATTTATTATAAATTCGCGATTTTTTGGTGTTATCTATGCTTATTTTTGATATATTTTTGTTTTTTATGGTAATAATTCGCTTTCAGGTCTCAAGAATGGCCAAACGTGGAAAGGGAAGTACGGGAGGGAATTTGGAACCCCTTCCATTTGTCCGAAAATTCGGACCCGACGCTGACAATGGAGATAATGAACCAGCCCCGCCACCCCCAGATCTTATGGAATTTAGTGTCGCGCCCCCACCGATGATCAAAGAAGAGACTGCCGATGAAATTCAGAAGGCCGGAGATGGCTCAAATGGCCATGAGAAGTCGTTGGATCGATCGAAGGAACGATCAAGGGAGAAAGATGAAAGAAGAAGGTCGAGGTCCAGAAGCAAGGAGAGGAAGAAACGACATAGAAGGAGTCGATCAGGCTCAAGACGTCGGTCGAGTAAGCGGTCGAGGTCCAGATCCAAGGAAAGAGAGAGGAAACACAGAAGAAGTAAGGAATTTTATTGTAGCGGGAAGTCAAAAGGGGAAATTTAGTATCTCAGACGGTCTGAGATTGTGAGGAAACGTGGGAGTCTAGGTTGTAGGGCCAGTCAAGTTAGTTTGGATCAAGATAAATCAGTTTTGTGGTATTAACATTGGGGAAAAATGTTAGGTTTAAATTTTTTCCAATGATTTTCGAAAAATTTTCTAATTTTGGAAGATAGAGGGCATGGAAGTCAGAATGTTGTGGCTGATAGTGTGTAATAGGCATAATTTGGCAGCCATAAGGCAACAAATTTGTGATTAGATAAAATTTTGGAAAAAAGTTGGAAAAAATTTTTACAACTGATCCAGTGGCAAAAGACGTACCATTTTGCATCCGGGAAGTATCAAAAATTGTAGCAAAATGTCTCACTCTCCAAGTAAAAAACTTTTTTTTGTGATGGAAAGGACGCGCCTTTCAAATCGGAGTTTTTTAGTTGGAGAGAGAGAGGCATTTTGCTACATTTTTGGTACTTCCCGGATGAAAAATGGTACGTTTTTTGCCACTGGATCTTGTCCGCCACTTTAAAATGGTTATTTTTTGGATAGTTCTACTCTACGACCTGCTGGAAATGATTCATTGACTAGCTCTGCATTATGAGTTTCCGATATTAATCCTGACATCAACTTTTTAGGAAGCCGGTCCCGAGATCGGGACCGTCGTGACCGGGACAGAGATTACGACCGAGACTATGATCGTCGACGAGACGACGACCGCCGTCGTGACGATCGACCACCACCACCTCCAATCAACCCGGATGATCCAGTGCATCAGGTCACCCAAGTCCTCCCACCCCATATGAGAGGCTCAGTGGTGGCTCAAAGCCTTTTGGTGAAGCCAGAAGCCCTCAAAGAAGTGATTGGAGAAGCGTTCTCGGAAGTGAAGGAGAAATCAGGAGTGGATCTAACTGTAGCCTTGCCTGAGGACATTGCGAAACAAGCGGAAAGGGAACGAAAACGAAAATCCAGATGGAGCAACACTAAAAGTTTCGTCCCAGGAATGCCTACAATGCTGCCGCAGAATCTCGATGAAACTCAGCAAAAATGTTATTTACGTAAGGATTTAGTGATTTGAAATGATGGCAGATCAAGAAGATGTCTTATCGACTTGATTTTCCAAGCCGAAGGACCAAGTCTAACATGGATAATATAATAAATTCTTCAGTTTTAAGAAAATTTTCAAAATTTTGATGGTTATTTTGAAGCGTTTTGGAACAGGGAAAGCCATTTTAGACTGGTTCCCGAAGGCGTTTTGTTAATTTCCAGGAAAAATTTGAGCTTTACACCTTGTTGTACCTTATTTTATCCACTAAAATCTCAAGTTTAGCTTCCTTTTTCTCATAAACGACGCGTTGAACGAGGAAATGGATCGTTAATAATTTGTATCGAATAATTTAATTTCAGTTCAATTGGAGATTGAAGAAGCCACCAGGAAACTTCGACTGGGCGACTATTTGGGAGCCGAGAATGAAAGGTTTGATATTGATTAATTTGCTTCATTTGAAAGGTTGTTTTTGGATAGCATTGGGAGGATTGAGAATGATATAGGGTTGTGGGATATAGTAAGGCTTTATTGAGGGGTTGAATGGGGATTGGAATTATTTTTATATTATTCATGAGGATTTTTTAAAATTTTTATTGTTTTTGTTGTTTTAAGATGATTTTTGGATTATTTATGAAAGATCAAGCCTTGTAATATAATATGATCACTATTTGGAGGTTTTTTTATTGTTAATGTTCAATTTAGCCTCGTTTTTATTCAATTTTAGGCACTTTTTTCCCGATTTCGGGCCTTTGAACCCTTGGAAATGCCACTAATCCTAATCTCTAATCAGTTTTTAGGTATTTCAGCGTCTTTTCTCTCAGTCTTTTTTGCTATTGTCATCCGGTCTATCTAGAGTTTAGGCTAGAACATTTGGATTGTAATTTAGTAATGTCTGGCTTTTGCAGAAGCCCCTCGCCTGAACCGATTTACGACTCGAATGGTAAACGTCTGAACACTCGGGATGTACGAAAACGACAGGAACTGGAGGCAAACAGACATGAGAAGATTCAACTGCTCCTTAAATTGAATCCGGCATATAAACCACCAGCTGATTATAGGTAAGAAATGGGAATATTGAATGAAAAAGTAAAGTTTTGGGGGTTTTATGAGATGATTCGGAGTTGTAGAGGCTTATTTGAGCTTTTGGAAGGGTAAAACGAAGAGATCATTGTTTTAATTGTTTTCGTGGTGGGACCCAAAAGCTTTTTTAAATATTTTTTTTTGTTTTTTGGAATTTCCTGGTGCTAGGTATCCTAAGGGTGGTTTTGTATTCTATTTTTCCAATTTCAGAGCGCCAAATATTCGCCTTCACGACAAGGTATTCATCCCTCAAGATGACCATCCAGAGATCAATTTTGTTGGCCTCCTAATCGGTCCCAGAGGAAACACCCTCAAGGCATTGGAACAGGAGGTAACGTACTTCAATTTGGAATGCTTTTTAATAAAGGAAAGAAGTTGTAATTACAAGATATTTTAGACAGAAGCCAAAATCATCATCAGAGGCAAGGGATCGGTGAAAGAAGGAAAATTAGGCCGAAGAGAAGGCCCGCTGCCCGGAGAGAATGAACCACTACATGCCTACGTGACTGGAACATCTCATGCGATCATTCAGCGAGCTGTTAATAAGGTAAATTTTGAAATTTTTAACGGAAAATTTGAGTTTTCGAAAAAAAAGTTTTGTTTTTTAGATCAAGGAGATTATAAACGCCGCTCTGATGATCCCAGACGGACAGAATGAGCTAAGGAAGCTCCAATTGAGAGAATTGGCGGTTCTGAATGGAACTTTGAGACCAGAAGATATCCTCGGAGGAACGAGATGTTCCAATTGTGGAAGTGACCAGCATAAGACTTGGGAATGCATGGACGGCCCCAATATTACGGCGAGTATTATCTGCCAAGCTTGTGGAAGCGCTGGCCACATTGCCAGGGATTGTAAGAACCCCAACCCGGGCTATCAATACGGAGAAATCGCGGGGATGGACGATGAGGTAGGAGAATTTGGAGATTGCCAATGAATTTATGAACTTTTGGGACTACTTATGAAGAAATAACCTAATTAGGGTGTAAAAGAGATCCATTTGAAATGGTTTGAAATAAGCGTTAAACTCGTTTTTTAGTATTCTGCCCTCATGGCGGAGCTGGGCGAGAAACCAGCCCAACCTTTTGGCGGCCTAACCCAACAAACCAACCAACCCAAGGAGCGCGTCTACACCTTGCCCTCGGGCGCCCCCATCCAACGCTACAACAAGAAACAGAACGACCAAAACACCAACTATTCCACTCAATCCAACTTTAATCAAAACACAACCGACTTCTTCAACTCCCAGCCCAACCACATCGGAACCTACGATCTCACGGCCGGCTGGGTCCCCCCACCCCCCGCCCCACCCACATCGATGGCCCAATGGGGCCAATACCCCATGCCCGTACCCCCGCCACCGGTGGGACAACCGGATTCGTTTGAATTCCTCGCCCCACCACCCCCTCCCCCACCCCCGCCAAGTGACGACTACGCCCCCGTCCCACCCCCACCACCCCCGCCACCAATGTGATCTGAAAGCTGAGAGTTTGGACCATCTTTTTCTTGTTTTCCGATAGTTTGAGTTAATCAGTTCACCACACTATTAAATTATTCAAATTCAAGCAATTAAAGAAAAATGTTAAACGGTAATAAGAAAATAAAGAACATTTTGATAAGATTTTTGGCGGAAAAGGATAAAATACGGCCTTTTTTTTACTAAAATGCGGGGTTGGGAGTATAAAAATCGGAAGTATAAAAAAATATCATTGAAAAAAAAATTACAAAAAATACTGAAACTTCTGGGTATTGCAATAAACAGGGGGCATTGTCCCTTGGTTTGATACAATTTCACGAAATTTCTTCCCCAGCTTTTCCGAAACAAACTAGGCACAGCTTCGGGGATCACCCTGTATATTATTATACAGAGTTTTGCAAAAGTCCCATTGGCCAAGGCATCATTTCCGACAGCAAACCCACCCCTGCATTGCGACCAAAATATAAAGATTGCCCTCCAAAATCCGACATAAACATTATTTCGGTTAATCAGCAAAAAAAATTATGAAGTCAGTTGGATTAGAGGGGTACGATACTAACGGTATTAATAGACTAATCGGGCCGTTGCTGATTAGCCAAGGAGAATCTTTGTCCTTTAATCAGAAGTTAATTGGAACCGCTAAGCAGCAAAACGCACGATGATGTGTATTTATGTGGGTTGCATGAAATTATTCATGTCATGCCTGTTCATACGGTTGTGTCCGAACAGTGCACCTGAAACAAACAGTGCACCTGGCTGAACGGGGCACCTGAGCGAACGGTGCACCTGACACATTTTGAACTGTGCACCTGGGCGAACGGTGCACCTGGGTGAACAGTGCACCTGGGCGAACTTCGGGACTGGGAAAAAGGATTTTTTTGGAAAATTTTAATAAAATTTGAAATGTTTTCGCTTCGGGACAGGGAAAAAGGGTTTTTTGAAAATTTTTTAAAATTTTGAAAGGTTTTCGCTTCGGGACAGGGAAAAAGGATTTTTTTGGAAAATTTTAGTAAAATTTGAAAGGTTTTCGCTTCGGGACAGGGAAAAAGGATTTTTTTGGAAAATTTTTAAAAATTTTGAAAGGTTTTCGCTTCGGGACAGGGAAATAAGGGTTTTTTGAAAATTTTTTAAAATTTTGAAAGGTTTTCGCTTCGGGACAGGGAAAAAGGATTTTTTTGGAAAATTTTAATAAAATTTGAAAGGTTTTCGCTTCGGGACAGGGAAAAAGGAATTTTTGTGTATAATTGAAAAGAATTTGAAAAGTTTTCGCTTCGGAAAAGGAAAAAAACCATTTTTTCTTTGTGAAAAGGTAAATATGACAAGGGGGGATAAGGTAAGCCGTTTTTATCATTTTTTTCATTGTGAAAAACTAAATATGGCAAGGGTAGATCAAGGCAAATTCTTTTGACGGATTTTTTTATATGACAAATGGGGATCAAGGTAAGCCGTTTTTACTGATTTCTTTGTTTGTGAAAAGCTAGATATGAAAGGGGAGATCAAGGCAACTTGTTCTGACTAATTTTTCGTCTGTGAAAAAAATGTTATTCCAATAGGGCTGTTGCCGGTGCGCCACAAAAATACGAACAGAACCTAGCAAACCTAAAAATAATCAGATGTAAGTGTAGTTCTTTCGTTTCTTACGGTTTTACTTTCTCCATGGGAAACACGATGCTCCTAGCAAATCTCTTCAATAATTTTTTCGGATCCACGAGTTATGATCTCATCTTGGCTACATCAGAGGCCCGTCGTTTTGGCATTGCCTGATTTGTCAAGATTGGAAGGATGTTTAGTCCCTGCTTTTCAAGATCACGCGCTATTAACTCAATGAATTTGTTGAGCGTTGTACTTGAGCTTAAGATGGCATTCCATCCATTATGCTGCCCCTCATTTATTTTTTTACATACAAAAAAATTGTCACAAAAAGCTTACCTTGATCTCCCCTTGTCATATTTACCTTTTCACAAAGAAAAAATGGTTTTTTTCCTTTTCCGAAGCGAAAACTTTTCAAATTCTTTTCAATTATACAAAAAATTCCTTTTTCCCTGTCCCGAAGCGAAAACCTTTGAAAACTTTTAAAAATTTTACAAAAAAACCTTTTTCTCTGTCCCGAAGCGAAAACCTTTCAAATTTTATTAAAATTTTCCGAAAAAATCCTTTTTCCCTGTCCCGAAGCGAAAACCTTTCAAAATTTTTAAAAATTTTACAAAAAAAATCCTTTTTCGTGGTCCCGAAACGAAAACCTTTCAAATTTTATTAAAATTTTCCAAAAAACTCCTTTTTCCCTGTCCCGAAGCGAAAACCTTTCAAAACTTTTAAAAATTTTCCAAAAAAAAATCATTTTTCCCAGTCCCGAAGCGAAAACCTTTCAAATTTTTTAAAAAATTTCCAAAAAAATCCTTTTTCTCTGTCCGGAAGCGAAAACCTTTCAAATTTTATTAAAATTTTCCAAAAAACTCCCTTTTCCCTGTCCCGAAGCGAAAACCTTTCAAATTTTACTAAAATTTTCCAAAAAAATCCTTTTTCCCTGTCCCGAAGCGAAAACCTTTCAAAATTTTAAAAAATTTTCCAAAAAACCCTTTTTCCCTGTCCCGAAGCGAAAACATTTCAAATTTTATTAAAATTTTCCAAAAAAATCCTTTTTCTCTGTCCGGAAGCGAAAACCTTTCAAATTTTATTAAAATTTTCCAAAAAACTCCCTTTTCCCTGTCCCGAAGCGAAAACCTTTCAAATTTTACTAAAATTTTCCAAAAAAAATCCTTTTTCCCTGTCCCGAAGCGAAAACCTTTCAAAATTTTAAAAAATTTTCCAAAAAACCCTTTTTCCCTGTCCCGAAGCGAAAACATTTCAAATTTTATTAAAATTTTCCAAAAAAATCCTTTTTCCCAGTCCCGAAGCGAAAACCTTTCAAATTTTTTAAAAAATTTCCAAAAAAAAATCCTTTTTCGTTGTCCCGAAACGAAAACCTTTCAAATTTTCTTCAATAATGCACAAAAAAACGTTTTTTCAAGGTGCACCATTCGCCTAGGTGCACTGTTCAAACAAGAAAATGTCAGGTGCACCGTTCAGCCAGGTGCACTATTCACCCAGGTGCCACGTTCAGCCAGGTGCACAATTCACCCAGGTGCCCCGTTCAGCCAGGTGCACAATTCGTCAGGTGCACCGTTCGGACCGAATCGTTCATACAGGAGGATCCAATATCGGCCTTTTGCTGATTGAGCCACAACTATTTTTCCTGACAAGGAACGTACTTCTATGGGGTATGGAGTTACAGGTCGAGTCATATCAAAGAATTCGCAAAATTTTTCGATTCAGAATATGTAAAAATTAGCTGCCTAATTTTGGTTTGTAAGGGTGAAAAAACCCTCAGAACTTTTCTTGCGAAACCACGCAAATGCCTTTTTGACCAAGTTTTTACCCAATCAAAAGCTTGTTTTTGAGTTAAAGTAAACTCAGGTATCTTGACAAGCCTTAATTTTGGCATATTCTGAGTCAGAAAAATTTTGCGAATTTTTTGATGTATGTCTCGACCTGTAACTCCATACCCCATAGAAGTACCTTCCTTGAAAATCATGTCCTGTTGTATAGCACCGACAAATGACGTAATTCAGCCAATGTATACTTGTTTTAAAAAATGCTGTCGTCGCATGTGACGCTAGTCTAAATTAATATATCCGTCAATATGCACAAAAATAGGCATGCCATGAATAGCTTGCATGCGGTATCAACGCCAGTCATGTTTCCGAAGAATTTTTTTCACCTCGAGCGAAACTTGCGATCTGCGGAAAGTAAAAAAAACCTCTGTCGATCCCTAATTTTGCGCATTCTCTCAAAAAATATCGCGAACGAAATTCGCTGCACAGGAAAATTTATAAATCCGTCAGCGGATGTCATCAAATTTTATGAAAATCCCATTTGAAACACGTTTCAGCCCGTTTTCCTGACCGCACATTTTGTGCTGAAATACTCCGGATTTACTGCGAACGTCTGCTCCATCCCTTGTTAGTTTCTCCCCTCCTCATTTCACGTATGCTTTGTATGCATATTTTTTATACGGCTTGCAGATTAAGAGGGTTTGTCGTCCGTATTTGCTGGCTCGTCGGCATGTTTTAATCTTCGTGCCCTGATTAGTTTCCCGTAGGCAATGAAAGCAAGTGAACCCTCAAAGCTTAAGCCTGTCTGTATGTATTTTCAGCGGCCGTTTACAAAATGATTTCTAGTGTAATCCAAACAGGAAGACGTACGTGACAACGCAAAAAGTGCATGTTTCAGTGAAGCGAAGTCTAATGACCGGTTTATAGTTTCGCAATGATCAGTTTTGAATAATTATGAGGGTCTTCCTCAATTATTTTTTTAAAAAATTATTTAAAAATAATTTTTGCAGCCTTAAAAGGCTGCAAAAACTTGGCGCCGTTATGTGTGTTGTAATGACGCCTTTTATGAATTGTTGACGGGGTTTCTAACTTACTACGCAAACCATTGGAGCAGCTACAGTGGCGGACCTGATCCAGTGGCAAAAAACGTACCTTTTTGCATCCGAGAAGTATCAAAAAATGTAGCAAAATGCCTCCCTCTCCAGCCAAAAAAGCCTTATTTGTGAGGGAAAGGGCGCGCCATTCAAAACGGAGTTTTTTAGTTAAAGAGTGAGGCATTTTGCTACATTTTTTGATACTTCCCGGATGCAAAAGGGTACCTTTTTTGCCACTGGATTCAGGTCCGTCATTGTATGCCGTAATAAGTCGTCGTAAAAAATCATTGTTGTTTGTCAATTTGCTCAAACGTGGCATTTCCAACGCCTCGCAACACCAACGCAGAGCTGCTCGACTTAAATGGTTTAATTACGCTAATTAATTAAATCTCGTTTCACCTTTATCTTCTGTTTGTGTCCTGACCGAACAAAAATATCAAAGTACCCTCGGTTAATTACTGAACTCTGCGAACATGCACTAATTCTTCACTCGATAAGATTAATCTTCCCCCGAGTAAACAGAAATCTTTTATCCGACGAATATTTTTATCTATTCTTGTCGCATTCTTGTACAGTAATTCTAATCATTCAAGTCATACAGTAACTTCTTGAAATACCTCCATTTTTCGCATTTAATCGTCGTACCGCCGTACCATCCTGCATTGTTTTTATGCGCCAAACTCCACACGAAAAAAAGAAGTGTTTACAGCGGTGGTTTGCACTTGAAAAGTAACAAAAAATGTAAAAAAATGTGAGCCCCGCGAGTATAAAATAATACGAAAATGGAGGAAACATGGGCTCGTACCCGGCACTGCCAACTACAATCAAATGTCTATTCTCGCAAGTTCAGCGTACAAAAACGGCGCTCGGCCAAAACATCGCTTGGCTCGTGAGTCGGAACGCACGAGTTCGGATTGTCCGCAAAACATGCGACGTAAGCGGAAAGCATCCCAAGACTACAGTAGTTCAACCTGACGTTAATTTAGAATAAAATGAAAGTTATGGAAATCAATAGCATTCGGATTGGAAAAGAGTATCGGATGATCTATGCTTATCCAAACCCATGATTGTATTTGACTATAAAAATCTGTTGTTTCCCAAACTCGAAAACCGGCAAAAACCCTGGCTTGGTTCCACAATGTGACAGATAAACATTGATGAAAGCCTGCATGAAACTTGGTCGACCATACGAATTGTTGCGAAATTGTTCGAATAATATCATTGGACTGAGTTCGTTTTTTTCCTCCTTCCTGTTTCTCCTATGGACCGCTGACCTTTCGGTGGATACAGTATTTGAAACTCTTCCGCAAAACAAAACTTCAATACGACTGGTTACTAAAAATGCCATTTTACTCACCTACGGTCAGTTTTTATAAACGTAATTCGCGTTTGTCCTGCTGCAGCGAACCGCGAAGAATTGTGCTGGTGTGCGTGGGATTCTTTTTTAACAAGGCCCTCAAACAGAGTGCACACGACCTTTGACCCGTTCTAGGTTCGCGAAAACAGAATTATTTATTCAATCGACAAACTACGTGAATGTCATCGTACCTTCATGTGGCGCTTTTGATCAGAAATAGAAAGAACATGAGTTAAAAGTTTATGTCGCAAGTTGACGAATTTCATGTCGGCTTTACAAATCTGCATTAACTTGTACCAGCTTAGACATTACGAACGTGTTCATAAATACGGTGAATCCGTGTTTTTGTAAAGGTTTCTGATTTCTTAAGCTTCTTAGCTGAATGTCTTGGAAGCATGGTATTTTCGGGACTCTGGCATAAACTTTTGCCAGAAATTACAGCCAGTCGGATGTTGATTAATTAGCAAATTAATCCGTGCAGCAAAAAATGGTAAACAAACCGTTTATTAGGACAAGATTTATATTGTCAGAATACCATTGAATTAATAGGAATGTAAAAAATCTTTCATGTTTGTATTTATGCAGCTGTAAATTCCACCTGAGAACTTTTTATCCAAAAAAGTACCCAGTCGTCGACCGGGAAGGTGGTCAAAAAGAAGGACACAATGAACAACATTGAGCTCACACCGAACGTCCATGTCATGGGCATTCCACGGACAACGATGTCGATTGCTGAAACCAGGAAGCGTATGTAAATAGCACTAACTCCTTACCGGCACTCACTGGGATGCCACACAGCATTCCCACGGAGATGACCAGCGGATTCAGTAGGGCGATTCCAAAATTTACGAGGAAATTGAAGATGAGGCTTAACAATCCGGCACCGATCAATGGGAGCCAAGGAACCGCCGAGAATTTAATGTGATCAGCATCCGTGACAACCATGACAATTGTCGGCCATATATTTATTAGCAAGTCCAACACTCCGAGCATACTCATGAAAAGCGAGACTTGTCCTAGGTTCGCATCTCCGTTGACTTTTTTGAAGAGCACCTAAAACTGTTATTCCAAACTGTATGCTCTTATCACCTTGTAAAACGCCGCGCTAAGCGCCGAAAAGACGACCAGCACCACGCCGAGCCAGCTTCCGGCAAATTCATGGTCTAAGGAAATGACGACAACGCCAGCAATAGCCAAAAACGCACCGACTATCTGAAAACGCCAAATGATAAAAAAATCATAAAGAAAATTGTTGACCCATTAGTGACGTCGCAAAACAAAATTCTTAAAGGCCTACCTTAATGATGGACGGAACCGAACCCAAAAAACAATATGCCAAAAAGCAGACCATCGCCGTATTTGAGCTCATGATTGACGAGGCTGCCGACGCAGAGATGTGCCCCAAAGCATAGGAATAACTGTAATTAGCAGCCACCCACATTACCAAGAATGGTCCAACTTTGACGAGGACGTCTCTAGAGAGGGCATGAAGTGTTGCTGAGGCTTACCGGATCCTTACCGTATCTCTGCTGAAGACGAGCGCGGCATCCTTGTTGGTGTCCTTCAGGGTGGCGCCTGTAAAAGCCAGAGCGTAGAAAACGTAAACAGGGTAGCAAATTGCCATAAACGTCGTGCTGAACCAGACCATGGAATATGGGGCGTAGAAGTCATGCCGGTTGATTGTTAGGGCCGACTTTGAGAATTGTGTAGCGCATGCCCAAGAAATTGCCACTAGGGCAATTACAATCACTGATACAATTGTCTGAAGCGGGTAATTTGAGAAAAAGAAATTTCTATGTTACAAAAAATTTCTATTTTTCTATGACGACTTTTTCGGATACAGATGGGCGCACATATACATTTTTAGATTAAAAAGCCGTTCTGGTAAAAAAAATCATCGGATATCTTATCCAAAAATTCAAATTTGAAAATTAATTTTTGTAGGGATACTTAATCCCAATTTTTTTCGAAAAACTGTTCAAAAATTTCATAAAATGAATAACTGTAAAAGTTCAAAACCTCAACCTCTTTTATCAGTCAAAAATATCTTTGGACTAATCCGCTTGTAATTTGCTGTAATAATCTCGTATAACAGCGATTGATAAGTGTCTTTTTTATCAAAAGAAGAGCAAACCACTCTAATAAAGTCGAGAAGAAACATCAAAACATTAAACGCACCTTTTTCACCCGATTTTTTGCTTGATCCACTTTGATCCGCTCGTCAACCTCCGTAGTCTTTGAGGACATGTTATTGTTTCCTACAAGTAAATTAACAAATGAAAACCAGCCTTTCACAATCAAATTCATAAACCTGAAATGAGCGTAAAAAGTCTCGCCATCAGCAATAAAAAGAGTTGAAAATGAAGAGGGCGATAAGCGTGACAACTATTACTTATACGAGCATTGTGCAGGTTAAATTTATTACATACGCCCTCTGATTGAAATGAACAAAAATATGGGGCTTCCAAAAAACACGCCGCTATATGAAATTATGCAGATTCCAGAACGGAATTCCAGCTTGGCTGGTCTGAAAAACACATCGTTTGAAAGTTTAGTTGCTTTTGAAAGAATGGCCGATTGAAAAAGAGATTTCCCCCCATTTTAAACCCAACAAATTTTTTTTCGCGAAATTCCTAGGTCCGTTCTGAAGAGAAAACAATCCGGAATTGCAAATACAAAATACGATTTACAAAGGAATCATCGCCTGATCATGAGCGCACATTGCTCTTTGAAAAAAAATACCATGACAAAAGCTTGTGTGTTTATATTTAATTTTTATTCAATTTCCATTTTGAATATTGCCCTTTATAACAATTAACAAGGTTCTTTCCAGCAATTACTCATCAAGAGCGACCTCATTACGCAACCAAGGTCCTTAATTTGTCTATTTTTTTCTTTTCGACAACTTGAGTCGGCGTTACTCCTTACATGTCCTTGGCACTCATCAACGGAACGCGCCGGCTGTCTGTTTTTGCGCCGTCGGGGGCCGTTTTAAAGGTTATAGAGGAGGGGGGAACATCTTCGAATTATCCGTGAAATTTTGTGTAATAAATTCTTCGCGGTCTCATCTTGTTTTTGGGACGTGTTGCGAACCGCCAGCGAATCGGTGTGTTGCATAATCTTGCTTTGATCTGAAAAGTGAATAAATTTTTTTTTTGACTCAAAAACTCCTTTTGTTGTTCGAAAGCAAACAAAAAAGTTATTACCGCATGTTGCACAGTCTATTGGGCTGTCAGTAAAATTTGACCAAAGAGGGAAGAAAGTCTTGCTCGGTCTTTTATTCACTCCAAACCGTAACACTTTCCATTCTCGTGAACATGTGGAAACACCAACTCTGTGGCGTGTGCAACGATCTCCAATGACGCCTTCTAATCTGCAAAAAATCGGGAAAACAAGGAGATAATTCGAGCGTTCTCCTCCGATTCGCGGGGTCATACACCTACAATCTTCGGGACGTACGTTTCGAAACATGCGGTTACTGTCTGAACAACCCTGCTGCTGCTCAGGCGTTTCCCTTCACCGTCAGGGGGTTCTTGCTCGGGTCGAGTGGACAATTTTCCGCATCCAAAAGAATATGTTTCCTTCGCGTTCGTTTCACTTTCTCTGTCGGATTGTTGTTTTTTCTGGTTATAATTATAATTACAGAGCCGCTCCTGTAGCATTGATAGGAGCGTGACCGGCGGATGGGCTGCGGGGGCGGTTTTATTAGTCTATCATTAAGGTTGGATTAATTAGTCGTAGCTGCATTACAGTGTTGGTTTGGCAAGTTTATGGCGGAATTAGTAATTCTAGCCGTCTTAGCGAGTTTGTTTTTGTAATGTCCGTCCGCCTCAAAAGTAGCCGTGATGCGAAAACTGGACCAGGTGTCCAGGTAGTTTTCTCCCACTCTCGCATTTTTCGCAAATTCCTCAAGCCCTGTCCATAAGACAAATGGAAGAAGTCTCCGCTGAAAGCGTCCAGCGGTGGCCATAAATTTTTCAGACTCATTGTCCGAGAGATTTTTTTTTGTCTTCGGCAGAAATAATTAATTCAATTCACCGAAAAGAGTAGTCGGAACCAACTGACTTTCGGCTATGGGGGTTTATGAGGTTTGCAGAGGGAGTTTCGCAGCGACTTCATTAATCTAAACTGACCATTCCAACAAGATTAAAACCGGTGGCCGATCGTTTTGTTTTAATTGCCCTCCCTTTGCTCGAGAGCGGCGGCAAATGGCGGCGTTCGATCTTGGTTGGCTGGCTTATTATTTGCACTTGTGGGATGTTGATGAGGGTTCTTGTAGAGTAAATCCGGTCGGTGACTCCTTTATATATTATAGCCTAGTGTATCAATGAATGCCGTAAAAAATACTAAAAAAAGTTCAGAAGGGAAGGGTCCCTAGTGCGACGCTCAGACTTTCTTCAAGCTATGCCGTGATATTGCAACGGCCGAGACAGTAAGCGGACGAATAGAAAAACTAGTTTTAGGCGTATCTTTGTCAGTTTAGCGTGGAAAAATTCATTTTTTGCGGGAACATTATCATCAGAAAAAAGTACAAAGATTTTTGTGCCAAGTTGGCAAAAAAAGTGTCACATCTCTCCCAACTTTCGACCAAAAAATCTCGGTCGTATCTGAGAAAGCGCATGCAAGGAGTCTCATATGTCCTAGAAAATATTATTCTAAAGATGTGCCAAGTTTCATCAAAATTTGAGCGTCGCAAGTCGCGCACTTTCGCTACCAAAAATTATATGAAGGGTTCTTCTAACCCTTTGAGGCAAGTTTTCTCTTACAGCTGCTGTTATGTGAGTTTCAACAGTGAACCATTTTCACTGCGACTTCTCTAGCACCCCTCTAGTAACAAGTTACAAGTTTACTTTGCTTATTTTAACTCTTTGATTGCCTCAAATACCAAACTTTTCCCCCAAAAAACGCAAATGTTGGCCAATAATCTAAACTTGAACTCGATTTTTTTCCAAATGTCCTTGAAGCCCCCTTTATTTAACGGTGCAACCAGGCCAGTCCACAAGTTGTTTGTCATCCGACAAATACAGATTATTATGAGGGTATTATGGGGCTCGACACATTGACCGGTAGATGTTTGCTGACCGGAATCGTTTGTGTTTACCCCTCGGTTTGTGATGGGTTATTAATGTGGGGTAAAAATACTCTTCCTACTCTGTGTTCACAAGTGGTATTGTAAAAATATGAGGGCTTAATTTTCTGAATATTTCAGAAAAGAAGCTCTATTCTGCTTTACAAAAAAAAAAACGAGATTTTTTGTTGGGTCCGACAACGATCAAGTCTAGTTCATACTATTGCTTTATCCGGCATCCTGTTTTGTAACAACATAATAGTTCTTGCGCTGACATTGCGAAAAAAAAACAGTCCGTCGTTCCGCTTCTGTTATGTAATCGCCATTGTCCATTCTGGTTAATGACTCCGCTAAACGCTGCGCCCCCGTTTTCAACAGCCTTTAGCGATGGGAGATTGTAACAAGATATAACTGTGCGCTTTTATGAGGGGCCGTTCATGATCAAGAAGGCTAATTAATTGGCATTCAAGCCGATAAAACAAACTGTCTTGCCATGAGAGGTCATTTAACCGCCTTAATGAGGCTGATTTGCTATACGAAAATTTGACTTTCATAATTTTTTATGTAAAGTTCGTTTCGTAAAGCCCCAAAAAGTTCGTCTGGGATTTCTCGAAAATCGCTGACCCCCTTGACGAGCGCTTTAAGAGATTATGTTTATGATCGGGTTCAAAAGCGAATTTGCAAACGCTTCTTTCGCGCACACTTTTATCCGTTCGACCTTGTCCCCTTCCACAATAAACATTTTAAAGCCCCCCTTTAGCCCTCCAGATGGCTGCTCTTCCAACTTGACGCGTTTTTAATTACAATTGGAAATGCAAACCGACCGCATAATTTGGCTGCATCTGGCGGTTCATAATCGCGCTGGTTTTGGGAGCTGGGCTGGAGCTAGGTTGGCAGGGGAAATGCTCGCAGTGCGGCGCGAAGATTTGATGAAACTTGACAAAATTTTAGGTTAACTTTTTTTGAGATGTATGGGAGATTTCTAGCTCGCGCTTTGCAGAAATGACCAACTTTTTTAGGGCGGAAGTTGACAAAAAATGGAGATTTTTTTGCGAATTTTGGCATGAAAAATTTTTGTACTGCTTCTACAGTGACCCACCTGATCCAGTGGCAAAAACGTGCCATTTTGCATCCGGAAAGCACCAAAAATGTAGCAAAATGCCTCCCTCCCCAACTAAAAAATGAGAAATTGTAGTTTTTTCACTTGGCGAGGGAGGCATTTTGCTACATTTTCTGATACTTCCCGGATGCAAAATGGTCACAGGTTGGGTCCGCCACTGTAGCGTCTACGGAGTAATGTTTCTACTGCTCTTATTCAATCTGTGGCCTCACTCCGCGCTTTACATACTCTCTCTTCTCGCCACAATGATTTTTGAATATCTTAGCCGCCCTTGAAAAGCACTAGCCAATATTTACAGATCATTTTATGTGTAAAACGCCGATTTTTTTGAGATTTGTTTTGGCCTAGGATTCACGATGAACGTCTTATGTATAGCTTTTCTCGATTCTTACCTCTTTAGGATTACTGTGCGGAATTTCCAAAACACTTATTTTTTCGCCATTCCCCACAATCGCACTCCCATTTTTGTCTTTTTACAAGTACTCTGGTCCCATTATTGCGAACTGACTATATCCGAAAAAATGAATAAAATGTAATTGCGCAAATTGGAGGCGCAAAGAGTGAAAAAAACGAGGTTAGTTGCGAATTCTTTGACGTTCCCTTTGCGAGGACCTCGCGAACAATCGGAGTGAAAAAAACGCGGGGAATTACGAAGTTATAATCAAATAGTCAATCGAATGACGAAGTTGTTTTTGTGACGATCTGGAAAATTTTTTTTGGGGAGATTTAGTTGTTCAAAAGTGCCTAAAAAATGGTTTTGTAGCGAGGGCCTGCCTCAAGTGTAAGATTTATATGGTCTTCAAATTCGGCTTTTATGCCGTATTTTTGCGAATTTTGATTAGCCTTAAGCTCTACGGTAGAAACAGATGTGAAACTCTCCATTTAAAAATGTGCAAAAAGTTTCAAATTTAAGCCAAATTTTGACCGAAAAATCTCGGTCGTTTCAGCAAAGCGCGAGCCAGGATTCTCTCATTTCTTACAAAATTCTAGCCTTAATTTGCTGAATGTTCCATCAAAGTTTATTCACCACTGAAAACGAATTTTTAGTGTCTTTCATTA